ATATTTTACTGTAGACAGTTTAGTACATAGTCAATGAATTTGATGATTGGAAATTCAGGGTTGGCAATACCATTGAATGTTAGGAAGCAATGATTAGATTCTATCTTGTTGGAGATGTTAATTGCCTGGCACTTACATGCCATGAATGTTACCTGCCACTAATGTTCCCTCTAAGCTGCATGGTTATACAAATTCTGCTCATGCTAGTCAGTGTGCCAACTCATTGGCTTCCACTACCAGATACTGTTGCCATGTACGTATCTCAGAGGCAATGGAAATAAAAATAGAGTTAATGTTCTTTGTCAGCTGTCAACCCAAGACTGGATATTGTGCGGGTCCTGCTGCATTTGAACATGGATTGCTTCAGTATCAGGGAAGTTGTGAATGGTGCTGAACATAATATGACCATCAGTAGACATCCTCACTTCTGACCTTATGGTGGATGGAAGGTCATTGATGAAGCAACTGAAGATGGGTGGGCATAGGGCACTATCCTGAGGAAACTCTGCAGAGATGTCCTGGATCTAAGAAGACTAACCTCCAACAGCTGCAACCTTTCTGTCAGATATGACTCCAACCATCAAAGAGTTTTCTCCCTGATTCCTAGTTTCACTAGAACTCCTTGATGCCACACACTCACTTCAAATGTGGAGATCAGCTCTTCTGTCTGTGTTTGAACCCGGGTTGTAATGAGGTCAGGATCTGAGTTGTCCTGGCAGAACCCTAGCCAGTGTCAATGAGAAGGTATTGCTATGTAAGTGCTACTAGGTAACGCTATTGATGACCCCTCCCATCACTTTACTGATGATTGAAAGTAGACTGATTGGGTGGCAATTTGTGGGTTGGATTTGTCCTGCTTTCTGTGTATGCAGGATAACCGGGCAAATTTCCACATTTCTGGTTAGATACTAGTGTTGTAGTTATACAACATTGCTAGGGGTACAGCTAATTCTGGAGACAAACTATTGCTGGAAAATTGTTAAGGCCCATAACCTTTGCAGTATTCAGTACCTTCAGCCGTTTCTTCATATCATGTGGAATGAATCAATTGGTTGAAAACTGACATCTGTGATGAGGGGGACTATTGGAGGAGGCTGAAGTGAATCATCCACTTCGCATTTCTGTCTGAAGATTATTTTAATACTTAAGCCTTATCTTTTGCACTGATTCGGTGGATTCCCTCATCGTTGAGGATTGGGATTTTGTGAAGCCTCCTCCACTGAATTGCTTAGTTATGCACTACCGTTCACAGCTGGATATAGCAGACTAGATTTATTTAGGATACCTGATTGTCTATCACTATAAACTTATGTTGTTTAGCAAGCAAGTGATCCTGTTTGGTAGCTTCACCAGGTTGGCATTTTTATCATTGTGTGGTATTCCTCCTGGCATGCCCTCCTGCACACTTCATTGAACCAGGGTTGATCCGAGATTTCATGGTAATGGTGGAGTGGAGGGGCATGTTAGGCCATGAGAATGTTGGTTGTGTTTGAATACAGTTCTGCTACTGTTGTGGCCTACACTATCTCATATACACCTAGTTTTGACGTCCTTGGGAATGTTGCTGAACAAAGAGACCACGGAGTGCAGGTTCACAGTTCCTTGAGAATGGAGTCGCAGGTAGACAGGTGTTTGGTATGCTTACATTCATTGGTCAGTGCATTGAGTATAGGACTTAGGAGGTTATGTTGTGGCGGTACAGGACTTTAGTTAGACCACTTTTGAAATACTGTGTACAATTCTGGTCTCCCAGCTATAGGAAGGATGTTGAGAAACTTCAAAGTGTTCAGAAAAGATCTATAAGGAAGTTGCCAGGATGGAGGGTTTGAGCTATAGGGAGGGGCTGAATAGGCTGGGGCTGTTTTCCCTGGGCCATCAGAGGCTGAGAGGTGACCTTATAGAGGTTCAAAAAATCATGAGGGGTATGAATAGGGTGAATAGACAAGGTGCTTTCCCCAAGGTGGGAGAGTCCAAAACTAGAGGGCATAGGTCTAAGGTGAGAAGGGAAAGACTTAAAAGGGACCTAAGGGGCAACTTTTTCACTCAGAGGGTGGTGTGTGTTTGGAATGAACTGCCAGAGGAAGTGGTGGAGGCTGGTACAATTACAACATTTGAAAGGTATCTGGATGGGTATATGAATAGGAAGGATTTAGAGGAATATGGGCCAAATGCTGGTAAATGGGACTAGATTTATTTAGGATACCTGATTGTCATGAACAAGTTGGACTGAAGGATCTGTTTCTGTGCTATCCATCTCTATGACTCTGTTAGCTATTTTCCAACTGAAAAGAACCTTCCCTGAATCTAATGAGTTTGATAAATTGAAACCAACGTATGACTTTCTCAACAGCTCCTTTTTTTAAGACATGAGTATGAAATCCATTAGGTTCCAGAGACTTGTCAAATTGCAATTCTAACAACTTACTTAGTGCTATTACCTTGGCAGTTGTAAATTTCTTGAGTTCCTCCCTCCCATACAATTTCTCATATACAGCTATTTCCCAGGAAATAACTTGTATCCTCTCTAAAGATGACTGACACAATATATCTGATCAGTTCATCTGCCATCTCTATATCCTCCATTATTAATTTTCCAGGCTAATTTTTCATAGGACCAATACCTATTTTGTTAATTCTTTTCTTTTTTAATGTCTGAATATACTATTTCCATCTGTTTTTATATTTTAGATTAACTGGATCAATTTAAGATATCTGGCATAGATGAGTTAGATTGAAGGCTCTGTTTCTGTGCTGTACAACTGTATGAGTCTATCAAACATGCTATGTAGATCTTTCATCTGGTTGGGTTTGAGTTGCATGCTCATGCCCATGAGACTTTTAGGCTGCTGTCTTTTGAGCTGGAAATACTTTGGGTTGAGTTTTTTTGTCATCAATGTTTGCATTGTAAATATTGTATGTGGTTTGCTGCCATGCCCTGACTTATCTTGTCCATTGGTGATATTATGAGGAGAATGCGGAGTGGTACAATATTGTTAACTTGCGACCCTGTTCCTGCCTTCACACTGCACCATTCATATGCTTGGAGATAGCAAGAACTGCACATGCTGGAGTCAGGGACAACACAGTGTGGAGCTGAAGGAACACAGCAGGTCAGGCAGCATTAGAGAAGCAGGAAAATTTAGAAAGACTATGTGGCTGTAGTACTGGGTTTGTTTATGTATGTGGTCGAAGAGTTTTAGGGCAGAGGAGACTACCAGAGGGTTGCAGTGGGAGAAGATCCACTGAGGTCTTTCCAGAGGGAGGAGGCTAACTTCTTCAAGGTGGGCGTCCTTGGAAGAGGCTTCACAGTGGGGTTATAAATCATTCAGAGATAGCCAGAACTGCAGATGCTGGAGTCAGAAGCACACAGAGTCTGAAGAACATTTCTGAAGAAGGGTCCTGACCCAAAACGTCAATTTTCCTGCTTCTCTGATGTTGCCTGATCTGCTTTGTTCCTCCAGCACACTGTGTTGTCACCATTTGTGCACTGTTTTGTGACTCTTTTGGTAATAAACTTTGGTTACACAACAAAAAACAAAATCAGCAGGAGGTTTCCTTGTCTTGTTTGCCCATGTTTGCCCATCCACCCTCTCGGCCTTACCCAGCAATGATAGTTGTAGTTTCCAGTTCATTGTCAGTAAGGTATACATCAGCGGGTATGATTATGTTAGGATATTACTTGACTAGTAAGAGTTTAGCCCTCTGAATTTTAGAACTACCTCCCAGGTTCGACAGGACTGAGTTTACTGTGTTGTTTTTGGTGGCTATATGGCATATCTAGTTTCATTTGTTTGAGGCTTTTTCGTAGTTTGATACAACTTAATGACTTGCTAGTCCTTTCCAGCGGACAGATAAGACTCAACCGTATTGTGGTAGGTCTGGAGTCACATGGAGGCCAGACCAGATAAGAATGTAAGATTTCCCTCCCTAAAGAAAATTAGTCAACCAGATGGATTTTTACAACACTCAGCAGTTTTTTCAAGGGCACAATTAGACTTTTAATTCCAGATTTTCTAATTCAATTCTACCATCTGTCATGGTGGGACATGTGCAACATCTCGCCTTTCATTATTTCTGCTTGCATTGAAAGGATGTCACTGAGGTACTATTCTAAGGCAGTGTACGTGATTAGGTTTTATTCTCTTTTGCCAGCTTACATTCCCACGTCACTTTGTATTTTCTGCAAACCCGGGAAAATGGCAGTTTGCAAACCACAAAACAATAATGTGAAAAAATAGATTAATTGGTTGTACGCAGTAACAACAATCACTGTCACTGGATAGTTAACAGGAGGATTTTTTTCCTGTCCTTAGCTACCCCAATTAGTCTCATTGTAGTACCATTTGATCAATTTGCTGAGATCATCTAACTCAGGAGAGATCAATAAGGAGTTTTCATGTACCTGCCTGTTTGTACTTCTGGTGTTGATCGAGTTAAACCCCCACCAATATATACTCTTGAAACATTTCATGCACCAATGCACTTTGCAACATATCAAGCACAAATTTCTTGACTGGAATAGAAGTTATCCATTTCACAAGAGCAATGATTTAATAATATTAAATTATCTTTGTACAGTTCTCCAATGCCTTTGTCCCTTTGTCTCATTATTCAATTTAACTCCATCCGGTTATGTTTTAGAAATTGCATAATCAACACGAAAGGATCTTATTTCATATCAATTAAATATAATTCAATTAAAGTAAGTATTAAGTATTTATAATGTTCAATCTTCCAACTGCTGACAGTATCTAATTGGAGAAAGACATGTGCAGACTATACCATTAAATTTGGAACAAAATAGCTAAACCATAGTTTTGATGTTTTATACAACATAAAAGTTTTAAAACCAAGAAAGTAATCATTGCAATTATTAAGGAATATCAGCTGGAGTATGACTTTTCTGACACACTTTATTAAGGTAATGAAGTTAAAAAGAAGTGGAAGAACCCATGTTCATATAAATGGTTGATCACTCTCGATTTTAGTACAGGGTCATAATGGCTGGTTACATTAAACCTGTTGATAGCTCCAAGGATGAAATTACTTGTTCTATCTGTCTGCAGATATTCACATACCCGATAACTCTTACTTGTAGCCATAGCTTCTGCCTAAGATGCATTCAAGATCACCTGAAGCACAAGACACAAGATGACAATTATATGTGTCCTGAATGTCATGTTGAATTTGCTGAAAAGCCAAGGCTGCTTAAAAATAGCAAACTGGCCGAAGATGTTGAAAAATTGTCAAAATGCCAGGAAAGGAGAACTGTCTGTGACTACTGCTTTGAGGAAGATGTACCGGCTGCAATGAGCTGTATCCAGTGTGAAACTTTCTTCTGCGTAACGCATCTTCGCCCACACAGCGAGAAACCATCGCTAAAAGATCATGTTTTGGTTGACCCCACAGAAGCAAGAACTTTGCGAAAGTGTGTAGAACACAAAGAAACTCTCAAACTCTATTGCAAACAAGATCGTGCAAGTATTTGCAGTCTTTGCAGTATTATAGGGAAGCACAAGAAGCACTTGATCTTGACCACAGAAGAAGCAAAATGTGAAATCCAGGTGAGGATGAATTAACCTCAAATGATACTTACAGGTGATAGGTTTGAACATCTACATTGTCTGACATTAGATTATTCAGGCTGTATGTGAGATGTATTTTTTTTCCCAGTTTTTGTCTGAGAAACAAGGTCGGATGATATAAGGCAGAATCATCTAATCATTTCCAGAAAGTAGGTTTGAAGCTGAGACTGGGAACGAAATGTAGGATCACCAGATCAGTTTTCTATTACCACATGTGGGTATCTTGTCGAAGGCAGGATATCGGTGGAAGCACTGGTGTCTCATCAGCAATCATGAAAGCAAGCCAGTACTTACCATTGGAAAGCAAATGAGGGGGTTACGGCTCTGCTGGGACCTGCTCGCAACTCCATATAGACTGCCTGTGGTCGGTTCCTGCAGAGGAGTTTCCTTTCAACTCTGCCGGGAGGTAGGGCGGGGGGTCTATATTTTAATCAATCTTTTATGACAAACCTTTGGAGCAGTGAAACTTGAACTCAGATCTTTTGGCCCAGAAGCAACAACACTACCACAAGAGTCTCAAATTTTTCTTTATGTACACTTCTGAGGGGTCTTCATTTTGGGATGCCACCTTTGGGAACTTGTGATGATTCCATTGCTGCCTGAGCAGAGCCCTGCTTTCCATAGCTATAGGCCCTTTGGCCTGGTTGTGTGGGTGAATGGGGCTCATAGACTACTGAAGAACAGGACCTGCATTTGTCCTCAATGTAAGGATATTTTCAAAGGTGGAGGATTTTTCTCAAAATGTCTGATATTTTGACTTTAATAATAAGTGGAATTGCTAGTTTAAGCAAAATGCAAACTGAGATCAGAACCAAGTTTCCACTGTGACATCAAGTTGGTAGCAAAAATACAAATGAATGGTCACAAGAGTTCTCTGGGTGGTTCCTGAGAAAATTTACTTTTGTGAATGCTGTAGGGAGGAAAAAGAGACATTGATGTTGTCTTAAGATTTCTAGGGATTTCATGAAGTGGAAGTGACTCATTTCACATCTAGTAGATACAAGTAAACATTTTCCATGGAAATAGGAAGGGAGTGGACATAAGCAACCTTTAAATCTTACTTTTCTCTTGTGACTGAAGGAAATCCATTTTCTGGAGCATTGGAAGATATCACCAATGAGCCCTGAATGCTTTTAGATTGGAGGGTCTGATGTGGGAAAGCTGTAAATAATAGAAACCAGAAAGGTAAATACTGTCTCCTTCTCTAGAGGTGATATGGAGGTTATTAATAGTGAACCGTGCTCATGTCCTGACCCACCAAATTCACATTCTATCAGGTTTGGACAGAAGCAATGTCTCTTGAGTACTTACCCAATACTAACCAAAGAAGGGGAAGGAATTTTTGATCAATTGTTTGTAAATTTGACTTAAATTCAAATTTATTATAAATCACAGTATTTAAAATGTCCCATTTTCCTGGACCCACAGATCATGATTTTGTATATACTTGGCATATAAGTTGAATGTTTTCAGTTATGAAATATGGGAATTTTTCGTCACGTTAGTTCATGGTCTACATTATAACTGAGTGTAAGAGTTTAAAGAGGCAATATTATTTGTGTTGTGAAGTTGCATGGGCATTTAAGAGCTGCCCATTGTTTATACTTAACGCATAAATTGAATCCCATTTTGGAGGGATATTTGAGGCTTCAAAGGTCAACTTGTAAGAACATAGAAAATAAGAGCAAGATCAGGCCATTAGAACCCTCAAGCATGCCCTACCATCCAACCAGATCATGACTGATTTTCTACCTTAATGCCACTTTCCTGCACTATTCCCATATCCCTTGATGCTATTAATATCTAGAAATTTACTAATTTCTGTATTGAATATACTTGATAACTGAGTCTCGAAGACCTGTGAGGTAGAGATTCCCAAAAGATTTGTTACCCTTTGACTGAATAAATTTCTTGGCATCTCAACCTGAAATGGCCTTCCCTTTATTTTGAGACATTGTCCCTGATTGTAGACATTCCTGGTCTACCCTGGCAAGGCCTGAAAGAATTATATATGTTTCAATACAATCACTTCTCATGCTTATAAACTCCAGTGAATACATCATCAGTCTCCTCATAGGACAATCTGTCATCCCAAGAATCAGAGAGATGAATCCTTGTTGCACTTTCTCTATGCTAAATCCTTTTCAAGGAAAGGGGAACAAAATTGTGCAGAGTACTCCCAGGTGTGGCCTCACCAACATTCTATACAATTGAAATAAAACATCATTACTATTCTACTCTAGTCCTCTAGCAATGAAGGCCAAATATCATTTGTCTTCTTAACTGCTTGTAGCACCTTCATGTTATACATCACTACCTTTGGTAAATTTGCTTTTAAAGTCAGAAAGACCAGCCTTTTAAACCTTATAATTATCATTCCAAAATTTTGATATCAAGATAGCTTTGAAGTAATTTCTTTTTTTTATTCATTCGTGGATGTAGGCATCACTAGTATGAATTGATCATCCCCAGTTGTCTTTAGCTGGCTTAAAAAGCCATTTTCAAGGACAGTTAAGAGTCAACCACATTATTATAGGCTGTAGTCACATATTGGCCAGTTCAGGTAAGAGTGCCAGAATTTCTTTACCATAATGCATATGTGAACCAAATCAGTCTTACAACATTCTAAGAGTTACATGGTCACCATAACTGATACTAGCTTTTTATTTTAGATATACCTAATTAACTGAATGGTGATTTCCTGGAGAGCAGTTGGGTAAAAAAAAAATTCAAAGAAGTAATTATCTCAAGATTTAAAGTCCTGCACATGCATTTTCTGAACCGCCTGGAACTCACCAAGTTAACCTAAAGAGTGCTAAGTGAAACTGACCAGCAAGGAAACTTTCACACTGGGAAACTTACAGCATTAGCTCTGTCTAGGTGAGAGCGTGATAATCACAGTGCTGCTTCTGCATCTGGAATATTGACACACACACAATCTACAACTTCATGGAAGTCAGAACCTATCTTAGACTTTACTCACTTTGATCTGCACATTCCTGATGTCAACGTTCATTGCAGCATGAGCACAGCATTTATTGACAAGGAACAAGAGGAGCAGTGGTAACAACACCAGCAGCACCAGTAGCAGCAAGAACAATACCAGCAGTTATTGCTTTCTCCTCAGCCATGTCACTCTGTGAACTTAGTATAATGAATGTGACCATGACTGCACTTTGTAAGTCAGTGGCAATTCTACTGCGGCATATCAGGGATTCCTGATGCAAGTCTATACCCATCAATTAACTGCATAGTGTCAATATTCTGTCCCTTACAGGACAACTTCCCATCTGCAACAGTTGCTGAACAATCAAATCATAAGTTTAGCCACTACAAATGTAGCCAGTCATGACCAGCAACCATAGAAGATGTTCTAAAACCTAACAAAGTCAATTGAGTTACCAGGTTCTATCAAGCAAGCTCTTTCAAGAGGAAGCAGTTGTTGCTGAGGGCAGGACATGCTATTTCAATTGGAGTGCTGCTTGCTACCTGGGGAATCATGGATAGTAGCATGGATAGAGACCCCAATCAGGGGTCTCACAAGTCCACAACACCACCGGTTTTTATTATCATCATGCCAGTGGCAACATGATAAGGTTCTTCATAGACCACTTAAAGGTTTCAATTTACCTCTGGTTGCTTGTGTTGTGTGCAAATCACCGTAAATTACCTTTAATTTGACTACTAATTCAGAAATCTCACAGACAATCAAGTACTGAAACAATAATTTAAACTTTATCGCATGCAGTCGCCAGACTAATACCCATCAAGTAAGCAAGTTAAGCCTCACAACTCAACTTGGCTATTACTGATTAATTTAGCTAGAATTCCAACCAACAGTGTCTGTCTCTAGATGTATCCTCGTGCAGTGTTGTTCTTTGAAGTTCTACTGCTGAACTATTCTAGTGTTGGATTATTATATAATTTCTCTCTTTCAAGTTTGTGGTGTGACATTATTGATGATCGTTTAGATTCTTTCATCCCCACCATTGATTACAGTTCTAGAGGCCTCATGTCTGTTGTTTGCCTTCTTATCAGAAGTAGCACCACCATTCCTTCTTACAGTCTGTGTTAGCTGTCTGATGGAAACCTGTTCTGCAAATAATTCCTCCACTTCAGGACATTCCTAATTGCTCATTTGTCATGAGGCAGCAGGTTATCAAGCAGTACCTAATGGTACATAAGTATTCAGAAAACTCCAATTAAAATACTAAAACATTTTTATCGGTCAGGATTATATAGAGATCTGGTGAAAGTTTACCAGATGTGTCATAAATATCAGGAAGCAGGGAAACACCAACCATCGATTATCCAATACTATTAATTTCCAATATCAACTTTTGAAGAACAAGTTAGCAGAATCTCAATAGATTGTGTAGGAGCCCTCCCTAAAACCCAATGTGCAAATCAGCATCTTTAACATATATGGATATTTCAATAAAATATTCCTGAGGCAATGCCTTTGTGGAAATGATGTCAAAAATGGAAATGACGAGGTTAATCCAATATTTTACAATATATGGATTGCTCAAAGAAGTACATTCAACCAGATCCAGGTTCAATTTTTATGCCAAAAATATTTTAAAAATAATGAATAGTTTGAGAATAAAACAATTTACAATTTAGGCTTATTATCCACAATCTCAAAGAGCTTTGGAAAGATGGCATTAAAGATTAAAGGTCATGTTTAGAGTATAATGTCAAAAATATCCTAATGATTGAGCCAAAGGAATTTCCTTGATCCTGTTTGCTATTAGGGATGCTCCTGATGAGGATTGAGTCCCTTTGATCTGTTATATGAACCTGAAGTGAGAGGACTTTCAAATTAATTAAAGAGAAATTTTAAAACACAAAGCTCAGAGACAACATTTCAAATCTACGTTTCAAATTTCAGAGAAAAAGAAACAAAAGTAGTTGAGTTGGTGCTGAACAGACTAGGGCATATAAAAAGGGCAAAATTTTGCCAGCCTTTCTGAAGGTAGCTTGTTACAAGATGTTAGCATTATCAACTGTTGCTGGAGAACTATTAAAAGAAAAGGCCTAGTGAACCTTATCAAATGAAAAGTAAACTCAATGATGTGAATTATTTGGAGGAAAAATTCTCGGTAATCTGTTAAAATTAAAGTATGGCAGGGAGGATAGTCACAATAGAAGTGCATTTATTGTGATGCAAGCAATGTGGAGTGAAATAAAAATAACAGAATAATTTGAGAATGAATCAAAAATCAAAAATTCAAATGGTGACTCTCCAGTAATCAAATTGGATAGGAGGGAGGTTCTTAGAAAGTTAAATGAATTTTTATGCTATCTCTAGAAAACTATTGAAATAACTTACAATAGACCAGGAATAATATACTTGCCAATACATAATGCCAACATAGGGGATCAGTTCCTTATAAAGAAACATTCATACAGACTCAACCCAGAGACATTAGCTTGTGGGGGAAGAAGGTAAATTCATGATGGACAATGACATCATTGAACTGAGTCCAAGTAGCTGGAGCTCATATATTGTCATTGCATCAAAAACCAGATGGATCACAAATATTACGTATTAATTATTACAAAGTCAATATTTTAACAAAGGTGGAGTGATGTTCAATTCCACGATTAGAGGTTTGTATTATGAGCATTAGACAGGCATAGCTGGTTGCAGAATTAACTTCTTAAAAGGAAATTGGCAAGCTTCATTGACTGAAACAGCCAAAGAAAAATCAGCCTTTGTAAACACCAGCTGGGTGTTATCAATGTAAAGTCACACCATTTGAAATGAAAAATGCACCAGCAACCTTTCAATGATTAACCAACAAGGTTATGCAAATGTGTTCTACATATTGACAATTTTGTTTGCTGAGCTAAGCTTTGAAAGAACATTTAGAACACTTGAACGAATTTCAACTGGTTACAAACGTGAATTTGGTCATGAACCTTGTTAACAGTGAATTTGCCAAAGTGACTTATTTGGACCAAATTTTGGGATGAAGTGAAGTAGAGCCCCAAGAAGCAAAACATAAGGGCTATTTTGGAGATAGTAGGAACTGCAGATGCTGGAGAATCTGAGATAACAAGGTGAGGAGCTGGATGAACACAGCAGGCCAAGCAGCATCAGAGGAGCAGGAAGGCTGACGTTTCGGGCCTAGACCCTTCTTCAGAAATGGGGGAGGGGAAGGGGTTTCTGAAATAAACAGGGAGAGAGGGGGAGGCGGATAGAAGATGGATAGAGGAGAAGATAGGTGGAGAGGAGACAGATTGGTCAAAGAGGTGGGGATGGAGCCAGGAGATAGGTTGCATGGGCCCAATGGTATCAAAGTGGACTTCACAAGCTTCAAAATCTCCCCTCCCCCTACTGCATCCCAAAACCAGCCCAGCTCGTCCCCGCCTCCCTAACCTGTCCTTCCTCCCACCTATCCCCTCCTCCCACGTCAAGCCCCCCCCCCCGTCTCCTTCCTACTAACCTCATCCCGCCCCCCTGACCTGTCCATCCTCCCTGGACTGACCTATCTCCTCCCTAACTCCCCACCTACACTCACCTTTACTGGCTCCATCCCTGCCTCTTTGACCTGTCTGTCTCCTCTCCACCTATCTTCTCCTCTATCCATCTTCTATCCGCCTTCCCCTCTCTCCCTATTTATTTCAGAATCCCCTTCCCCTCCCCCATTTCTGAAGAAGGGTCTAGACCCGAAACGTCAGCCTTCCTGCTCCTCTGATGCTGCTTGGCCTGCTGTGTTCATCCAGCTCTACACCTTGTTATCTCAGGGCTATTTTGGATCTTTCTTGCAATTCAATTTGAATTTCAGCACTTTAGTGTCTCCTTTGACAAGCATGTTAAAAAAAAATGAAATTTGAATGGACAAAAGAGTGTCAGAGTGCCTTTGACAACTTGAAAGCTGTACTTACTACTGCATGGGTCTATCAGCCCCAAAACATGATAAGCCATTTGAACTGGCTGTTGATCCCAAAGACATTGATGTGGCTGCAGTTTTATTACAGGAAAACAAGATGTGAATCAAATGACCAGTTAATCTTTTTCATGCAAATTAAATGTGCATCAACATAAATATTTAACAGTGGAGAAAGAAACACTAAGCCTGATTTTGGCTCTGCCACAATGAATCCTCTGAAGTCTACAAATCCAACATCCTGCTGAGAATTATTAATACAGATCATAATCCTCTAACCTCCACGGAATGTTTCAATACAGCAAACTTTGTTTTAACTGGCACCTTAATCAACTGGCACTCTTGATAAACAAGCAGAAATTATATACCTCAAATACAGCAGTTGACCGTGATATCTGTGTATTTATACTGTAACCAAAATAAAGCAGTGACATGTATACCCTCCATGCATTATGTTTCTATTACTTACTGTGTGTTTTTGCACTGATTTTAGGAGGTGCGTTGGTGTTCTTGGAAAGTTTTTTTGAGGCATGTTTAGGTCTTGAAGCTTTGTTTGTTGAGGGTTCACTACTCTTATGGGTACTTCTTAATTCTCCAGAATATTTGATCAACTGGCACACTCCTGGTATCATAGATGCTGGTTAATCAAAAGTTTGCTGAATAAAAACCTGAGACTTTCATTGGAGTTTAATACTATAGTTGAATAAAATGAAGATAATTCACATCACAGGAGAAAGACAATGTTACATTGGATGCTTTGTCAAGAGCAAATTTGAAAGAAAATGATTGTTGTGATCAAATGGACTTGTGTAGAATTTCATCAACTTCATTTACACAATTTTGTTCCATATCTGTTGAGGTCCTTACCCAACAAAAATCTATCAACTTCAAGTCTTGAAAGTTTTAACTTATCCGGCATCCACGAGCTTTTGACAGAATGAGTTCCTGTTTTCTACATCTTTTATATGCAAATGTTCTTTCTAATTGAGCTAGCATCAAATTTTAACTTGTGGTCTTGTCTGTGCTTTGGTCACTTTCAGCTTCTACGTGAACTAATTTTTACCCTGGTACTATACTTGTGAGACAAATAAAATGGTCAGAGGTAACTTGCAATTCAATGCAATTTTATCAACAAAATACATTAAAGATGCAAAAGCGCCCATATGGCTTAATATTATTTATAATCTTTCAAAATTCCCAATTCTTACATTCTACCAATCGCAATGTTAGATCTTTGCTACAATCCTTATCTAAACTACTACTGGTTGCCAGACTAGGACCAGGTACTATCTGTGTAGGTAAACTTGGTCAGGTTGTATAGCCAGCTCTGATGAACTTGGCAAAGATTGGTCTCGCACGCGGTTGTCTTCTCTCTCTTTCTTTCCAGGTGGTCAATCTCCACTTCTGGGCCAAGTCAAGCCTTCACTGAGGGAACGGATGCCAGGTGTGTCTCTTTATCCCACCCTGATGCATCCATGCAGAATTTTCTCTGACCCTCAGCCAATCAATCTTCCGGGTCAAGCTCACAGCATCCAATGGAATCCTTGATGCCAAAGATAAAAGACACTAGGGTTGCCCTCAACATCCATCCCCCTATGTGGCAAGGGCATGTCCCATTGTCCATAGCAGAAATCTGGGCTCTGGTAAGTCTGCTCCTCATACTCCAATACAGTCTTGTTTTCCAGGGCAGGTCGTGGGTTTGTCTTTGCCTGCCTTTGTCTTGATCTTTGTTCTTGACCTGTCCTGAAAGTTCCATTGGCCTGGCTGCTCAAAGATGCCCAGTCTGCTTTTAAGCCTCGCGGTTCAGATCCTGGGCTAATTGGCCACAGTTTCACTAACACTACTTAGTATGTTGATGAAAATTTTGTCATTATCCAATGAAATGTCTGAAAAAGAAGATAGTCTTTGTGGTTGAAATAACTCCACAGAGACTGCTATCCTGTCACCAAGTCACCCTTTATTTACACGTGCATAATACTTGACACTGGTCTGGCTTCCTCAGAACCGGCTCTCAGAGTGAAGAGAACCTCTGACACCCTGTTTGTACCTGACAGTCAGGGGTCCCTGATTGGACCGGGTTAACAGCCTCAATCAGAGAACTCATAGTCTATAAGGTGCACCTGACTGACCTCATTATAATCACTACATCCCTCCTCCTCTATGTCCGGTGATGTACGGTTGTTCTTTCCCTTGTAGCCTCTCATGGGGTGTTTACCCGCTGGGCCCAGTTCTTGGATACGGGTGATGTGTACTGGACCATAGCCCGTCTCTCGCGCCTGGAGCATCTCGGAAGAAATTCGTCCTCTTCTTCAGGCAGTAAAAGCATCAAGGCTGCGACATCCACCATACCCATCTCAGAATCTGAGGTTTCTTCAATGGAGGAGGAGAACCCAGATGTTCTGACAGCCTTTCTGGTTGTTTTGAGGGGCCGGGTATGTTTTGCTTTTGTCCAGTATGTGAGTTTGCAGCTTTCATGTAGTCCATATCGTTGTTCATGACAGCCTCACCTACCTGAAGTTTAGACGTCATGGGACATGACCTCATGTTGAGCATGCCTCTTAGCTATGCAGGGCCATTTTTGTGGTTTTAGTACCAAACTTCACCCCTTGAGGTAAACTGTCTCTCTTGCTTAGGCGAGTTTTGCACCTGGCATTGACATTCCTGATGCTGTTTTGCCTTTCCCCCCGCAGGCCCAGGAAGATCAGATTTAACTTGGTGCGGAGTTCTCCCTTTTAGCAACTCTGCTGGAGCTATCCCCATAGTTGCTTGAGGGGTGGTCCTATAATTAAATAAGAACCGGGACAGCTTGGACTGCTCGTTCTGCCAGATCTTTGGATGATGGATGGTGTGGAGCTGTCCTTATCAGCCAAATGCCATTCGACTTCAGGAAATACTCAAATTCCCTGCTGGTAAATGATGGCCCATTGTCTGTGACCAATGCTTCTGGGAGATTGCAAAAAGTGCTTGCAGCTTTTCTTTCGCTATCCCCATGTTTGACGAATTAACTCTATGCCTGTCCATACGCTTTGAGTGGGTGTCCACAATGACTAAGAACATTGAGCCCATGAAAGGGTTGGCATAGTCAACATGTATCCAAGCCGAGGGTTTACCTGGCCATTCTTATGAATGGGGTTGGGGGGTGAGGCGGAACACTGGCAGTAATTTTTGTCCTTTTTGATACTCTGTGCACTGCCCCACCAACATGGCTATGTCTGCTTCCAAACCTGGCCACCAGACGTAACTTCTCACCGACATCTTCATCTTCCTGGATGACCCTGGTGAAGTTCAGCCTATGTCTGGCAGCAACCTTAGCTTGGGACAATCACTCTTGCTCCTCTTAATAAAATGCTGTCCTCTACGGTGACCATTTAACCCAATGCTTATTTTGATTGGTTGTGATTTGGATGTTGCTAAGCAATTTAACTGTTCCAAGTCAGATGTAAGTGGGCTTTCCAGGGTATGCACTCTCCGGGATACCAGCTTGTGATTTCAGTTCCTGAATTCAGGTCTAATGGTACTCTTTTGCTCACACAAGTCTGAGTACTGACAGAAACTACAATGGCCTGCTGGTCTGGATTCTGAAGGAAATGTTAACCATTTGGCTGAGGTTTGGCTTTGTTTTGGGGTTTTGCTGTGTGCTGACCTAGAGTCCCTCCTAATAACCAAAAAGTCTGCAGGTCCACAAGCTATGAGGAGAACTAATCATTGCTTTTCATCTGCATCAATGTCATTTGCCCAGAAAAAAATAATCCAGCTGTCAGGAAAATTACTCTTTGCTTTTCATCTGTCCCAATGTCATTTGCCTAGAAAAAATTGTGCATTTTTTCCACATATGGGCCCAGTCTTTGACTGCAAGATCAAATGAGTCTAGCTTCCCAAATAACAGCATGATGCCAAAAATGTTTACCCCAATTCAAAGATGACTGCTGCGAGCGAATTTCTTCAGGACCATTTTTTTCTTTCGTCACCACTGAAGCAACTCCACAGAGGGTGGTATCCCGTCACCAAGTCACCCTTTATTTACACATGCATAGTACTTGACACTGGCACCCTCAGAGCCAGCTCCCAGAGTGAACAAGATGCTTCACATTCTTGTTTATATCTATTAGCCAGGGCTCCTTGAATGCACCAGCTTAGCAGCCCCAATCAGGAACTTATATTCTATAACATGTACAGGGCTGACCCTCATTACAATCACTACAGTAGTTTTATATATTTTTATATGCTAATACATAAAAGTACAGCAGCTGGTGCATATAAAGTATTTATCACTGTTATATCCAAATCTATTCATACTTTTTAATATTCTTTCATATTCACATAGCTAATGATCAGAAATCTGTTGCAACTAAATGATTACTGATTGACACAAATCACTCTGACTAATAATTAACCTCTACCATTATACGTTTTATTTCAAAACAATTTCGCAATAACTACCAACATCATGCTTTGCTGCAGAAATCCCCAAGGGCATGTAGTCTTTACAGCTTGCTGTAAGTATTTGCCCACATTAGTTGCCAGGGTGATTGTTGAAAATAATCTTTTGAATCAACGGAATGAATTTTGACTTTGGGTGATCATGTAAACTATGCCAAATGAATTGAGTAGCCCCTTTTTATTTCTAATTTTTCAGGTCTTAATTTCTGAAAATGCTAATTTATACTTGGGGCAAGTAGTGAATGTGCAAATTGCAAGCCAGGTGTAAAAATCTGGCACAATAGCCTAGACTAAATCCCAGACTCTTTAACATATAGGCTCACTAACTCAACAGCTTGGAATTGCCATTGATAAGAAACTTTGATAAATGAGCCAAAGAATTACCATGACTACAAGAGCAGGTCAGAGGCTGGTGAATCAGTAGAGGGTGACTCAGCACATAACCGAGACAGAATCATAGAATCACTACAGTGCAAATAGACATTTACTATGGATAATCCATTTAGCTTGCATATCCCTGGACACTACAGGTAATTTAGCATGGCAATTGACCTAACCTGCACATCTTTGGACCAAGGGAGGAAACCAAGCACCCGGAGAAAACCCACGCAGACACAGAGAGAATGTGCAAACTCCACACAGACAGTCACCCAAGGATAGAATTGAACCTTTGCCCCTGTTGCTGTAAGGCAGCAGTGCTAACCACTGTGCCAGCATACCATGCTAAGCCTATCCACCATCTGCAAGATAGAAGTCAGGGGTGCAATAGATTACTCTCCACTTCCCTGTGTGAGTCCAACAACACTCAAATTTGACACCACCTAGGACAAAGCAGCCTACTTGATCAACATGCTGTCTGTCGCCTTAAATATTCACTCCCTCCATCACTGATACACACTGGTGGCAGTACATACAATATACAAGATACACAGTAGCAACTTAACAAGCTTCCTTCAACAGCACCTTCTAAATCTGTGACCTCCAATACCTAAAGGACTAGGGCAGAAGATGCATGGGAACACCAACCCCTGCAAGTTCCCACCCAGCCACACATTATCCTGACATGGAGCAATATTGCTGTTTCTTCATTGTCACTGTGTCAAAATCCTGGAATTCCCTTCTTTACATCATTGTTGTGGAGCATACACCAGGTGGACTGCAGCAGTTCAAGAAGGTAGCTCATCGTTATATTCTCAAAGGCAAAAGGAATGGGCAGTGAATACTAGCCCAACCAGGAACACTGATGTCCTATTAAAGAGTACGTCCAAAACCACTGTCAAGCCAATGTTTAGGATTTGGCCATGCAGGGCAGGGGTCTGTGGCCAAGGCATCTGGTTACATTTTTAAAAATAAATTACTAAATAATAGAAGTTTTGAGACTAGAGTAAATAGCCTGACCAGCTTGCTTCGGATAGAAAACTGGATCCTAATAACAAACTGAGTTTACTACTTCTGATAGAGTCACAATCACATATATAACCCAGACTAGGTGTGATTTCTGAGTAGTTTGTAAACTAAGAATTTATGTAAGCTTGTATGTAGTTTTTCTTCTGGTTTTCAAGTGTTTCAATTTAAAAATAACCAGCAGCATAGCTTAATGCTTTCAACAAGATCAGATGTTAGTTCATTGCGTACCTGTTGCTGAAAGTTACATATGTAAAAAGTGGTTAAATTCTTAACTAAATACAGATTTGAATGTTTAAAGTAAGAATAAAAGTTATGTATGAATGTAACCATTAGTTCATTCATTGTTATCAGGCCTGGTTTGTTTGAAGATCCCCATTCCAAAGTGAAAGGGGTTGAAACTTGAAGTCAGATTTTGACCTTCTCTTGGGAAATAAGGCAGGGCAATTGATTCAATGTTGACTCACTTTGGGATTAGTGATCATAATTCTATTAGTTTTAAAATAGTTATGGAAAAGGATAAGCCTTCCATAAAAGTTAATGTTCTTAATTGGAGAAAGACAAATTTTAATAGTTTGAGACAAGAATTTTCAAAAATTGATTGCAATAGGCTGTTCGCAGATAAAAGGACGACTGACAAGTGAGAGGCTTTCAAAAGTGCAATAACAAGAGATCAGAGGCATTATGTTCCTGTTAGAGTAGGGTACAATGGATGAATAAAGATATTGAGATTCTAGTCAAGAATAAGAAAGAATTGTATATTAGATATAGACAACTATAGTCAAATGAATCTCTTGAAGAGTACAAAGAGTGTAGGGGCATTCTTAAGAGGAAAATTAGGAGGGCAAAGAGGCGATATGAGATTACATTGGCAGATAAGGTTAAAGATAATCCAAAGAAATTCTACAAATACATTAACAGCTAAAGAGCAACTAGACAGAAAAATCAATGAGGTCATCTATGTGTTGAACCTTAGAGATGGGAGAAATACTAAATGTATATTTTGTGTCAGTGTTTACTGTGGAGAAAGAAATGGAGGTTAGAGAACTCAGGGAACTAAATATTGATGTTTTGAAAACAGGTCACATTACAGACGAGGAAGTGCTGGAGGTTTGAGAAAATTTAAAGGTAGATAAATCTCTGAGACCTAATCAAATGTATCCCAGGACATTATGAGAAGTTAGGGAGGAAATTCCGCGGCCACTTGCAGAAATATTTGTCTCATCTATAACCATGGGTGAGGTGTTGGAGGACTGAAGGGTGGCTAATGCTGTGCCTTTATTTAAGAACGGCCGTAAGGAGAAGCCTCGGAACTGTAGGCCTGTGAACCTGACATCAGTGGTGGGTAAGTTGTTGGGGGTGATTCTGAAAGACAGGATTTACATGCATTTGGAGAAGCAAGGACTGATAAGGAATAGTCAGCATGGTTTTGTGCGAGGGAAATTGTGTCTCACAAGCTTGATTGAGGTTTTTGAGGAAGTAAACATAGACTTTAGTAAAACCTCCGACAGGGTTCCGCATGGTAGACTGATTAGTAAAGTTAGGTCACATGGCATTCAAAGAGAGTTTGTCAATTAGATACAAAATTGACTTGATGGTAGGAGACAGAGGATGGTGCTGGAGGGTTGTTGTTTGGACTCGAGTCCTGTGACCAACGATGTTCCACAGGGATCGATACTGGGTCCACTTTTGTTTGTCATTTATACAAATGATTTGGATGAGAATATAAGTGGCATGGTTAGTAAGCTTGCGGATCACACCTAAATTGGTAGCATAGTGGACAGTATTGGGTCAATGAGCTGAGGAGTGGCAGATGAAGTTTAATTTGGATAAATGCGAGGTATTGCATTTTGGTAACACAAACAAGGACAGGACTTACACAGTTAATGGTAAGGCCCTGGGTAGTGTTACAGAACACAGAGACCTAAAGGTTCAAGTACATAAATCTTTGAAATTTGCATCATAGTTTGACAGGGTGGTTGTGAAGGCGTTCAGTATACTTGCCTTCATTGCTCAGACCTTTGAGTATAGGAGTTGGGACGTCATGTTGAGGTTGTACTGGATATTGGTGAGGCCTCTTTTAGGTACTTTGTGCTGTTCTGGATACCGTGCATAGGCAGGATATTATTAAACTGGAGAGGGTTTAGAAGAGATTTACCAGGATGTTGCCGGGGATGGAGGGTTTGAGTTAGAAAAATGTGCTTTCTAGGCTGGGATTTTTTTCACTGGAGAGTAGAAGATTGAAGGGTGATCTTACAGAGGTTTATAAAATCATGAGAGGCATAGGTAAAGTGGATAGCAAAAGTCTTTTCCCTAAGGTGGGAGAGTTAAAAACTAGGGGCCATATTTTTAAGGTGAGAGGAGAAAGTTTTAAAAAGTATATGAGGGCAACATTTTTACACTGCGAGCGGTTCGTGTGTGGAATAAATTGCCCGAGGAAGTGGTGGATGCAGGTACAGTTACAACATTTAAGAGACATTTGGATAAGTACATGAATAGGAAGGGTTTGGAGGTATCAGGACCAAATGCGGACAAGTGGGACTAGTTTAGTTTGGGGGCATGGTTAGTGTGGACTAGTTGGACCAAATGGTCTGTTTCCATGCTGTATGACCCTATGACTCTATGGCTGTAGTACCTGTGGTGCCTTTTGTTGTTGAATTGTCGGAGGTTACTCCCAAAATTGCACTGAGCATGCCAGGTCCTGGAAGAAATGAAGATGCCATTGTTTTAATTTTATGGCATTGCAGGTGGCTTTGGTAGCCTGGTTCAGCATAATCACAGTTGTTCAGGTGATTTTCCTGAGATTTCTGTACCAAATTGGTGCTCATTGCCGACTTCTTTAGTGATTGAAAACTTAAACATAGATATTTTCCAAATTATCCAATTATGTTTCCATATTAAATATTGAGGGAACTCAGCTCTGGAGCATAGACTTAGCCAATGTAATTGAATGAAACTAACTTGCATTATTTAGAGGTTGCAGATTAAAAACAGAGATAAGGAGAAATTGCCTCTCTCAAAGGGTTGTGAATTGTGGAATTCACTCCCTCAGAGTACAGTAGATGCCCAAACATTGAGTAAACTTAAGGAGGAGATAGAGTTTGAATTTGTAATGAGTTGCAGAGTTATGGAGAACAGGTGGGAAATTGGAATTAAGGACGAGGTGAGATCAGCCATGATTGTATTGAATGGCAGAACAGGTTCAGAGGACTGAATTACTGACTCCTTCTCCTAGTTCTTAACTTCTTATGTTATGTAACTAACTTTTTAATTGTATCAGCCATTAGCTTGGATGGCTCTCATTCAGTCAGGTTTTTGGGGAGATAGTAAAATCTGTCCACACCTCCAAAGAGGCCAGTGGCAATGAGTTTTTGTTTACTCGTGGAAACGTTCAAAAGGTTCTTTGTGATTCTGCTAGAAATAAGTCTGCTTGAAACAAGCCTGGTTCCAAATCCAGCTGAATCCATAAGGGTAATTATGTCATTTCTGGGATCCATTTTGTAAGACTCCCTGTGTCTATTTTAAAAGTAGAGTAGCTGATTTTACAAAATATATTTTAACTATACGTTACAATGAATTTTATAGTAATTGATTGTGGTAATACAATATCAAGACGCACAATGCTGCGGATCTAATCAGCTTTGGACTTAATTTAGTTCACTGCCATGACTACAGCTTTGATCAAATTGTAAAATTCAAAATTAACAGGGACAGATCTGAATAACACAAATAAATCTCTGCTTGCTTTCTTGGTGATTTGCAAAACAGTTAGATTAGCCATATGAATAATCGTCACATTGGCGATTAGACAGATATTTCAAAATAATACCATAGAAAATTAATTTGGTATCTTCCTCACTGCCTTGCCCACATTACCTAAGCTTTGATCCATTTTGTTTTACAGCTGCCCACAATTGTTTCAGAGGTTGAAATAAAATGGTTTAAAATCACTTAAAAAGATCCATCTTCCTTCTGATTCCAGATAGTTTGGAGTTATTGGTTTTCATTTTTTCTCTTACTTTATTCCCTTAACGGATGTATTATTCCTGCAGTTGGTTTGGTGTGTGAAACCGTCTCAGGAAGCTTGCTAGCACCATTTTTAGAGTCCGTTATACACAGTAAGCAGGATGGTTTAGAAAGTTGCTATTTGCTTTTCTTTAATGTGTTGACAAGAGGCTCATTAAAGCCTTGACATTAATTGATCTCTCGTTAAGCTGATTTCCCTCCTCCACATTCTAAGTTTTGAAGACTCTTTATCACAATCAAGACTTAGAAAAAATGCAAACCGAGCACTGAAAACCCTTCTTCATCAGTATGGTTGACTAACATGACAGTTCCCCTGGGCATAATGAGAACTTAGATGACTTGCTACAGGATGCTGTTGTTATAACAGCTAAAAGAACATTTTCCAGGTTTGAGCAACTGCATGAATGTTCTTTTGAAAATTTCTTCTTTGACTGGGCACTTCATAAAGCAATACCATGAAGCAATTTGCCTTATGATGAGACGCAAAATAATACTTCGCAGGACTTGTATAAATAACAGGTTACTGCTGAGTACATTAATTAATTCCTTTTTTTGTCTTATTAGTTATCTTTCACAGAAAAATTGAAGGAGCTTAATGAGAAGAGGACCAAAACAGAAGAAGCTGTTAAACGGCTTCGAGAACTGAATGCCCATGTATTAGTAAGTCTTATCTTAAAAGCTAATTATATGGTTAAAGAAAAGAATTCTTTCGTGTAAAGAGTACAGTTAAATGTATAAATGAGATGGTAGTGTAGAAATTTACAATGATGAATAAGATGTGGCAAAAGCTGTGTACCATTTGAACAACTTGGTATAATAATTGGTACTAATCTTTAGCTGATAATGATAATGAGGTTTATTCATTATCAGCTTTTGAATGAAAATAAGAACTAGGAGCAAGAGAAGACCATGTGGCCTGTTAAGCCTGCTCTGGCATCCATATTATCATAGCTGATCTTCGGCTTCAACCCCACTTTCCTAGCTGCTCCCCATTTCCCTTGAAGAGATTTACAACTATTTGAGTGAAGAAATTTAACTTGGGCTCAGTCCTAGGTGATTGGAACCTGATCCTGAAACTATCTCCTTGCTCTGGAATTCCTAGCCAGGATATTATCTACTCTATCGAGCCCCTTCATCATCTTGAACATTTTGATGACATAATCTCTCATTCCTGTAGACTCCAGAGAATATAGACCCACTTTACCCTACTTTAACCATAAGGACAATTCTCTCATCCCAGGGGCCAAACTAGCAAACTTTAGCTACACTGTCTTCAGAAAAAGATACAGGAACCATTGTAATAAGGCTTCTTCATACTTGTACTTGAATCCCCTTGCAATGTTATACCTGCATGCTGACTGTGTTTATTATATGAATGCATGAGGAACATCTTCTGAACTTCAACATATATAAATTTCACACCTTTTAAAAATATTTTACTTTTTGTGACCAATCTCTCACTTCCTTACATCATATAATCCAGCAGCCACCTGTTGTCCACTCACTTAACCCATTTATAAATCTTTTCAGCTTCTTTGTGCTCACCTCAAAGCTTACATTCTCACCTAAATCTATATTGTGAGCAAACCTGGATAGAATAATCTCTGTCTTTTTAACAAATTCATTAATATACTGTAGATATAACTAACTCAAGCTCCAACACTAACAATTGTAGCATTCATTTCTCATAGTCTGCCAACTTGTGAAATCTCCACTTATCCCTACTCTCTGTTTCCTGAATTTTAACTAACTCTCTATCCATTCTAATCCATGACCCACAACTGCATCAACCCTTTTGTGTATTAGGCACTTGCGTAATATCTTTTGTGTTGGACCTTAGGAAACACAGAGGATCAGAGTGAACCTGGTGTACATGTATATAGATCTTTGGGTACAGCAGGTAGATAAGGTGGTTAAGAAGGCGTATAGGATACTTGCCTTTATTAGTCAAGGCATTGAATACAAAAGCAAGGAGTTATGATGCAACTGTTTATCATGACTGTTCAGCCACAACTGGAGTATTGTGTGCAGCTTGTTTGCCACATTGTAGGAAGGATTTGATTGTTGTAGAGAGGATGCAGAAAAGATTAACCAGGATGGTTGCCTAGGCTGAAATGTTTCAGCTATGAAGAGAGTCTAGACAGGCTGGTGTTGTTTTCCTTACAGCAGAGTAGGCATCTGATTGAAACATACAAGGTTCTGAGGGACATAACCAGGTTGACAATGAAGAAACATCTCCCCTTAGTAGCGGGGTCAGTAACGAGGGGGCACAGTTCTAAGGTAGGGAGCATGAGGTTTAGTGGGCATTTTACAGAAAAAAACTTTTCACTCAGAGGGTTGTGAATGCATGGCTAAAAGGTGGTAGAGGCGGAACACCCTCAAGGCATTTAAGAACTATTTAGGTGAACACCTGAAACACCATAGCATACAGGGCTATGGGCCATGTGCTCGAAAATGGGATTAGAATAGATGCATGTTTAATGACCGGTTTAGACATGATGGGCCGAAGGGTTCCTTTCAATGCTGTAAAAACTCTAAAATATATCAAATGTCTTTGGAAATCTAAGTATACTACATTTGCTAGTTGCCCTATAAGTATTCTACTGGTTACACCATCAGAAAACTCTAACAATCAAACAGATTTCTATGTTGTAAAACCATGTTGACTTGTTCCAACCATACTATGTGCTTCTAAGCGCATTGTTAAGATTTGCTTAATAATCATTACTTTGTTAATGATTGGTATCAGGTTAACTGTCTTGTTGTTCCTTGATTTCTCTCTTCCTCCTTTTTTGAATACTTCCAATCTGCTGGGACTTTTATGGAATCTGGATAGAATTCTCTACCACTTAAGCTATCTCTTTTAGAAACTTAGGTTAGGAACAGAGGAACACAGGAACAAAAGTAGGCTATTCAGACTGTCCAGACTATTCCGCCATACAATGCAATTATGGCTAATCTTACACTCCAATACCTTTTGCCTTTGGTCCCCTTCTAGCCCTTTAAATAAGTGGTAATCAGAAAATTGTCATTATCCACTATAGACATACTCAATGACTGCAGCTTCCATAGTCCTTTGGGATTCTCAATCTCCTGAGTAAAAAAAAAATTCTCCTCATCATGTTAATAAGTGGCTTCCTTGTGTTTTGAACCTGTGTCCTTTGGTTCTGGACACCCAAACCAGGGGCAAAAAACCCTGCCTGCATCAAGTGATAGTAGGAACTGCCGATGTTGGAGTCTGAGATAACAAGGCGTGGAGCTGGCAGACCAGGCAGCATCAGAGGAGCAGGAAAGCTGACGTTTCTGGTCTGGATCTTTCTTTACTGAAGAAGGGTCCAGACCCGAAACGTCAGCTTTCCCGCTCCTCTGATGCTGCCTGGCCTGCTGTGTTCCGCCAGCTCCACACCTTGTTATCCCTGCCTACATCAATTCTGTTTATCCTTTTAAGTATTTTGTCAGTCATAATGAGATACATCTCAATTTTTAAAACTCTGGGGCAATTGTCTCCAATTTTTGAAGTGCAAGATCACTTTTTGAATTCAAGTTTACTTGAATTAACTCAGACCTACCCTGAAGAAAAACAAACTGTTTATTATTTCATGCTAAATAAATCTAAAACCCAGCATATATCATTTTGCCCTCTCTTTACTAAGCGTTAGTGTGATACCTGTGACAGCACATTATTTGCTAATGCCTTGAGGTCTGGTCTGTGGTTTGACCCTGCTAGGCATATACAGTCTATCGAATAGGTCTGTGTGAAGCAGGTGCAATACTTGGACAAGGATATCTTCATTTGGAAGTCAACGGGAATCAGGGAGTTAACCCTCTGCTTGGTTGAAGATACCTGGCACATAGGAAGGTGAGAGATAGTAGGAACTGCAGATGCTGGAAAATCTGAGATAACAAGGTGTAGAGCTGGATGAACAC